GAATTTCAGCCTTTCTAATCACTGGAGTGATGTAGATTTAATCAAATAATATCGAGGCATCTTTATTCAGAAATTACATTTGATTTGGTATCGATAAGAAATTCTCATCAATCGGTTTCGCCATCTTATTATTCCTGGTGACAGGTATTTGTACACTGTTTCATCTGGCAGCAAGTGAACATAGTGTGGTTCTTGTTCAACAGAAGATTAAACGAGATGAGAGCAAAAAGAGAGAGTCTTCGTCTGATTGAAGTAATGATATAAACGGACCATAAAAAAGACGACACTGATAAAACAAAAAATGGTTTGAATAGCGTACGACAAACACCTGTTATTAGAGTAAGGTTGTGCTTCCTCTCAACGCGAATTCGACTTAGAAAATATCTTTCAAAATCGTCTCTTATTTAGAATTATGGCATTTATTAAGGAATGGTAAGCGCATTCTATTTGTACTTAAATTTCTACCAACTTTGACGAAAATTATGGAGAAGTTTTATTGTCGTCACGGTGATCTCATTGAGTAGTAGTTTATTTCTTTTTGTAGGCTGTGTTTGATGCTCATTAGTTTGCCTGTTGGTTCCGTTGTTGTATACCTTATTCTCATTTGAGAACATGATATTACTTACTTTGATCGACCAAGGTTTACATGGCGGGTGTCGCCGATAAAGCAGAAGACGCTTAATCTTCTCGAACACCTAGACTTATTCTTCTTGTTCTTTGTCAGGAGTATCCCTGTATTTTTTTCTTTTGTTAATATTTTGCCCTAGTTTTATAGAATTTGAATTTGGATTATGATTTTTTTTGACTTGTTGATATTTTGTTGATTTTTTATTCAAGTCAACTACATTCTTAGTTTCAATCCTTAAAGTCCGGCATCACCGACAAGGAAAAGACCGTAACTTAATCCATTATTTATCAATGCTTTATCTTATTTTGAATTTGTGTTCAACGGCAATGTTCAATATGGACTACTTAATTGGACAAAAGAGTATAACGGAGCAATGTCACGTGGTATTTTTTTCCGTTCTTCTCAGATTTCAGACGAAAGACGCATCCAAATTATGACAATATTTTGTATATCTGTAATAAGTCGATGTAGTTTCCGTTGGATAGACAAAGTTTCAGCCATTTTTAAACAATAGTGTTCCGAATCAAATGGTTTTTATTCAGTAAATCAAGCGTTTTTCTTAAATGGTAATGGACTGATGCTAACTTTCAATGTTTATATCATTCTCGCCTAAAATTATAATCACATTTGCAAGAACTTGTTACAATAATCCTTTTTAGAATTGATATTGTGATTATATCTGTATTTTTTTCTGAATGAAAAGCAAACAATGACATGTGACTCCTTGTGAGTATTGCATAGCATTTGATGTGGTTTTGATTTATTATTCAGGAACGTGGAACAACTTGCTTTGAATGTTTTCCCTTTTCTTTCGTCCTAAAGATGAACGTGTTTCTGTTATGTGTGATATAAACTCTTACATGACAAGGGATCAATAGCTTGTCTTAAATCGTTTTAATTTTAAAAATCACTTTACATTGAGGGTCCAATATATATACATAAACTGAATTCCAATGAATTATGACGCCGCACAACTCTGAAACGTGTCATAAGTGGTTGGAAATTTGAAAACGAGATACTTTATAGGTCAGAGCCGCTTTAATATTCAGTCTGACACGCACGTCTGACTGGTCTAAAGGATACACCAATGAAATTTACTTCTTTGTTGTAAACGGGTTAAAGGAAACAACAAGAAAATACCAACATGTCAACCACCATGTCAACATAATCCTAATCCAACCTCCAACTTAGTAAAACTAGGGCAAACTATTAACGAAAGAAGGATTTAAACGGAGACTCCAGAAAACATAACATTGCGATTGAGAAGAGTAAACGTATGCAGTGACGATATCGGCCATGTAAACTTTGGTCAATCCATGTCATCAAATGAAAATAGGGTATACAAAAACGAACCCAACGGGCAAACACTAACGAGTATCAAACACACCCAGTTTCATATCGCACGAAGTAATCAAATAGGTTTCAGTGAGATTATTATGACGACCTAAACTTCCCCACAGCGTCCATCAACCTGCATCTTGTGAAACCCCGTGTTACGAGTTTGTTCGCCAGTCAATTATTTCTCGCACGAAAATCGTGATAATGGAAAAAGGAAACCTGAATACCGAGTCAATTTCGCCATGTAAAAACTAACAGTTTTGGATGCATTAATGGTGCTATCAGGAAACGAAAATTCAGATTTAAATGCAGACATTAACTGAAGCTTTAACAGGCATAGTTGTAATGACAGTGATACTTCACTGAAACAATTGACGTGGACCTTTGAACTCTGTCGCCCGCGGTATTGTCATACTAGAACTTCACCTGTGCATGGAATTCAATCATAAACCTCTAAAACGTAAAGCCTCTACAATGATGATATTGATTCAGGACAATGCATGACGGGTAAGCTTAACAACTTATCATGCTGTGAATCAAACAATGGGATCTATTGGCAATAAATCGGTTATATAAACTACGTGAGCTTCAATTACCACAAAGGTTCTCAGCCCAGTCCTGTTTCTCCTGACTGTTCACAATAAGTAGAGTTTCAGACAAGCAGAGGAGATGACGAAGGATTGATCACATGTATAATTTCCTGGAATTATCACAGAGTAACACACGTCCACTGTCCGGTTGTGACTGAAGTTTCCCGTAGGACAGAAATCTGACCAGACATAATTAAATATATATTAAAATGTGAAAACAAACAAACCAAAAGCAAAACAATAATAAAAATAACATTATGTAAGGTATTATCCTCAACAATTACCAAAATCTATCACATTATTACCCCCACGGTTCTATGACCTAACTCATGGCATCAAACAAAGATGACATTGAACACGGTGTTGTCAGCAATGCTTTAGAAACATCTGATAATTTTAGGTCATCTGACTCATAAACGACGTGTCTAATTCATATGTATGAAACACTACATTGCAAAATTGCAATTTTGATATGACCATGGCTAGTGACCCATCTAGGTAAAAGGATTTTGATTTTTTGTAAGAAACCTGAGGCAATGTTGAAATTACATGCATAAGAAAAACAAGACCAGATTGATAATGTCCTGTCAAAAAATATAAAAAGCCGTTTTGAAAGAATGTCGGATGACAGTATTTTCCATGGTACTATATAGAATAGATATAGCCATCCTTGACTGTTGCTCAGATTTGAGATATTATCAGACGATGTTCATTTCCATAACAATAAGAGTATACGTTCAGATTGCAACACAGGACACAACTACTGATATAAGACACAATACATAACACACTGCACAAGTCCATGGAACTGCAAACATATCGCCAAATGTAATATTTGTCAATTATGGACCTTTGATGAGCTTGCCTTCAGTCAGTACGTTTCTACCAGGTTGATACAACACCATATTGACCGAAACCGAAGGTCCTTCATTTTCATAATACCTATGTAGCAGTAATTTGATTATTGCTTGGTATCTATTGTGTTTAATTTTAAGACGAGACGTCTTAAAATTAAACATTCAGACAAGCACATAATAAATAACAAATGTGTTCATTTACAAAGAGCACAAAAATTATAAAACCTTTTAAGAAATATAAGTTACATCGATTACAATATCATAAATCAGCCTCTAAAACGGTATATCATGTTCCGGGGTCCATATTGCCTAGCCGTACACTTCCTTATCCAATAAGAACAAGGGAAAACCTTAACATATATAATATCATAAAATATATGAATTTAATAATATGAAATATGTTAATCAATATTGGTAGAGTAATGAATCGATATTGTCCACGGGAGAATTGGTTAATATTGTCAACGGAAAGAAGAGTCTATATTGTCCACGAGGCTATAGATCAATATTGTCCTTAATTGGTGGGTTAATATTGCTTCCGCAGATGGATAGGTCAATATCGTTTCTGTGGGTTCTCTCCCCGTGCCGTGACCCGCAAATTTTAAAATTTGAAATGAATATAAATACTTTGTGATCACTTCCTGATGTTCAAGGACAGTTAGGTTAGTTCGTTACACCAAGTTGGATATCATGTCCCCTGTCTATGTCATACCAGTGTTATAGGTTTTAAGATCCGTCCGTCAGTGCTTCTTTTATTCGTAGGTACAATTTTCATAAACCCTATTCAAACGCATGTTTATAGATCTTAATTTGCTTTATTTCCCGTGTTATATTAGAACATTAAAAACCATAACATAACTAAAAGTTGAACTGGAAAATTCCTGCCGAAAAATCAAGATTTCCACAAAATTTTCCCTGAATGGCTTTTACTGGCAATCCTCTTGCGCACGTCTAAACCAGCATAAGGTCCCAGTTGATATTTTACCCGGTACGTTTTATTACTTTTATCCAACAACATTGATTTCCTTCGGGTTCCATGCGTATCGTTTCCTGTTTGATTCAGAGTCATATCGATACCATCAGATATGGTTTTAAGTTATACAAATAAATATTCGAGGACCTTTTCATTGGATATTATACTAAAATATTAGTATCGGAAAACAAACAGCAATTTTCACATGGGAAAATGACTATAAATCAAACATTAATGGGTTTTATTTCTACCTATTTGCGCACATAATAGGGCCAGCTTGATCGAACCAAGCGAACAAACACATCTGTATACCATAACATACTTTGAGTTGTCTTTCGCCATTTGTTCCTCTCTAACATAAAAAATTAGGCATTGTGTGAAAATTGATTTGCCTTTTCTCAATATAAGGTATGTATATTATCCAGGGCAATAGTGCTGCCATAATCAACATATCCAGTGCTTTGGTAAATTACATGTAAGATACATGGAATAAAGCGACTCTCTTAGGAAAGATGTTGTTTATATATGTACGTCATTGCAATAATCTCGTAAAGCCGATTATCTTTATTTTGGTATTTATTCAAACTGATTTATTTCTTGCTGGTGACATTTCAATGAAGTCAGCAACGTTTACATCCATGGAGTCAGTAGTTACCAACAAGCGAATCGACACAGATTTGATTGAAGAAAAAACAAATATTAGAAAACTCTCCTGTATGTTGGATTGTTTGAATGATGTCACATGTGATTCTATTGGTTACCATAGTGATGACATGAAATGCCGACTCTACAATGTAGTAGTGTCCGGTTCTGGCGGTGTCACTGAAATTGGATGGGGATATTATTCTATTCGAGAAGGTAAAACAGAATGGATTCCTATTATATATTCTTATGGTGGTGGACAGCAATGTATAAAGAAAATGTGGTTTGGTTTTATATATTGTATAACGTTTTGTATCACCAGCTATTGTCATTTAAGGAGTTGAATGTGTGTGCTTGTGGGAGACAGTGATATGTTAAGCTTAGTGGGACAGTGCGGAACTGAAACCGACTTAATAGTGTTTCCAGTCTGTAGTTTAATGCTTACGGCGCCCAACCAAGTCATTAAATGCCAGAAATTTCAAATACAACAGGTGTGGTATACCGAGAGTAAAATATGATATCATTCCTTTATTCGAACTCGATTACACGGAAATAAAGAATTACATGAAGACATTGGAAAATAATTATAATAATAATAAATACCAGGAGAACATTATCGGCGTTCCAAAACCGTGATGTAAACATTGGTCAATCCAAGTAAGTAATGTCATGTTCTCAAAATGAGAACAATGTATACAACAAAGGAACCAACAGACAAGCTAACGAGCATCAAACACGTACAGCTTCTTACCGCACAAAGAAATAGATTACTCCCAGTGAGATCATTATATCAACCCTAAATCCTACATCTCTTGAATCCGTTGTGTAGCGAGTTGATATATAGGCTGTCAACATTTTTTTCATTTTAAACATTACATTGGTAAGAAGCCAGTGGATAAAATATATTTCAACGAGAAAATAGTTCAGATCATAAGAATTCACCATATTTTCGTCAAATATTTTGTGTATGTGTCTACAAAACGAATGAGAGACGGATGACCATATCTTTCATTTAATCTCAACTGTATTGGTCATTGATTTGATGAATGATCACAATATTATTTATTTATTTTTTACAGGTTAATTTACAACAATTCAAAACTTGGTAACTTTTATATTGCAATATTATCTTTCACATAATCATGAAAGTCTTGAATATCGTTTACTGATAAAATGTTTCATGATGCCCTTCAGTAACAGTGTGTTGATGACAATTTACAATATCAACTCTACTAGTGGTAACCAAGAGTTCTGATTTCCTCGTCGTCTGTGCTTTCTGTCCGTATTGTAGATGTTGACAAAGGAAGAGGCATGCTGACACCTAATGAGAAATTCAGCGTCCATACATTGTGTGAGCTACACTCTAGTATTAATTAATATTTTCTTTTTTAACAGATTTCTGTTCAGAAGAGAATTTCCATCATAATCGCGTTCTTGACCTGTGTTATTACTCGCCAGCTGGAAAAGAAAGTTGTCCTGAAGCGATTGATATATGTGCCAACTTTTCTGCCAATTTACTTATTGTGGACAACCAAGCTAAACAGGACTGGATGACGGAATTTTGTGGTGAGAATAATTCTTATGTAACATACAAGTTGTTGTATACATTTGTAGGTTAAATTAAATATGCTTACATTGAAAAATTAACTTGCATAGTGTTTATTTCCCAATGTTGAATGTTCCATTTACAATCAGGGTCATTTTGGGACTGGGTCACCTTGTAGGATCTGGTGGCTAACTTCAATGGAAAAAAAAAACGAAGGCCCTGCCATTCAATGTATCTTCGGTTAAAGTGTTTTAAGTTCTTACAACACAACCAGTAGAAGATTTGAGTGTGATGTTTTAATGACTGCACGGTTACCAGTGTGATCATATTAGGACTGACGTAAGTAGTGTACAAGATGGCAAGGTATCTATTTTTTTTTAACTCAACTATATTCCTATGTACACTAAAGTCGCAAAAAGTGTGACGAGATGATAAACAGATTTTAACCACAAGATGGTAATAATGTACTGTAGTAAATTGGGCTACACCTTGTTTAACACTAGGTCATACATGTACAAGACTATGTGGCCCCCTCGATCCTGGCCTTGTACGACTTATCCAGATGACTTTATTAACCAGCCGCCTGTAAAAGTAGTTTTCCCTATCGACTATTTTGGAATTTCCCCTCTCGATGATATAATTTTGCCGTGTGAAAAGAGCTGTGAGTGCCGATTTATTGATCTGGGACTGCGCATGTTTTCTGACCTATTGAATTGTTTGCCTTCGTGGGATCCCGCAGTATCTTTTGTTCGGACCCCGAATTTCCAGCCTTTTTTGACTAAATTCTTGAAAAAAAAGTGCAAAAAATGAAAATCGTTTATTATGTAATTCACTGTAGTCACCCCTCTATCAAACCATGCTTGATTATATACAACTTTTTTCCTATCATCAAATGCTTATTGAACCATAGAAGAGTTTCCCAAATATTATTTCTTATACTTTTTGTCCCTACCCTGTCATTAAATCTGATTCAGGCTGCAAAAACGTCCTTCCAAAAGTAATTTTTACAATTATTATAACAGTTTTAATCTACTTACTCCCACAGGTAGATACGATATGCAGATCTGTGTAAGTTTCAAGAATTACTTGCCATTTAGCTGTTTTCTTAAAATAATCCTTCTTATCCATCCTTGTTTAAAGAATCTGCCTTTATACAAACCATTTTGAGCCCTCCATCACATAATTCTGAGTAACAATATCTATCTCTATTTTGTCAGCTTTGCTATTCATAGAAAGTGAAAAAGAGTTAAATTCAGTTGGATAATGATGTCATCATCAGGATTTAGCAATGAAATAAACAAATTATCAAACTGGGATATCATTAAAGACTCAATTAGATTAACTTTTCCCACAGGGGTAAATAACCTCCACTCCATGTTTTGACAATAGCTTTTAATTTAACTAATTTATTGCCATAGTTTAATTTTGGAATGTCGTGTAAATTAACATTTAATTAAACTCCAAGAAGTGTAAACTTAATTATTTTCCCACTGTAATTCCAACTTTAGTTTCAGATTCTCCTCACTATTTTCTTACTCCTGATCCAAACCACCTGTGTTTTGTCAATATTTAATCTCAAGTCAGATATTTTTGCGAAAGCAATTAATTGTTGATTCTTTCAATGATGTTTCTGAACCATCTTATATAAGGGAGGTGAGGAGATGTCATCAGCATATTGAGAGGTTAGGATAGGAGTGTTACAGACATCAATTCCCTTAATTTTTTTCAGCCTAATGACAAACATTTCTACACAAAGAATAAAAGTATATGGAATTATTGTATCACCTTGACGACAGCCTCTTCTTCTATTGAAGAATGAAGATAAGTTTCCACCTTGATTTACAACTGCACTATTTTTATCAACTGTCTTTTGTCAGATCCAAAAATGAAATATTTGAAAACTCCATCAATAAATTTCCAAGAACCAGAATCAAGTGCTTTATGAAAATTTATTATCAATAACATACCAGAAATATTTCTATCTTCAATATATTTCATTATATTATACACTAATCTGGTATTCTCACCAATGTAGCGACCCGAAAGAAAACCTTATTATTCCTTAATGTAATTTTGTATATGATATTCAATAATGCAATTGTCTCTTCGTTGGTCACTTTCTGGATTGCCTAATCAGGGTATCCACATGTTTTTATGGCGTTGTGGATGTGAATTTGTTCTTGCTTCTTGTCTTGGTCTTCTGTGACAACGGTTTCAAATCTGTTGCGCAATTTCTGTACAATGCCAAACTTCTGGTGTAAGGGATGGTGCGATCGGAAGTTCAGGTATTAGTCCGTGTGCGTCTTTTTCCTGTTGACCAATACTTTGATAGTACTATAGTGAAATGGGAATTCCTTGCAGTGTGCCCCTGCAGTATTTTGAAGTTTCGCTGGGCGACTTGTCATGTAAATACCGAGTTGCCCGGATGCAGGTCGGCCACCGCCTAACGCTACCGCGAGACGCGAGACGCGAGACGCTTTGTTAGTCTGGCTACAGCTGAGCGCGGGAGTGAACGCACGAGTCCATTATAGCATGTATATAGTTGTTGATAGCGTCATCTCTACATTCAAGGAATGGCATAGCGCCATTGACCTCTTCCTCACGTGTAAGTTAAATGCTGTTGGTGGTATCTACGGTATTCATATGCTCAATTTTTTCTGAAACCCTTTTTTGACTATTTCCAATACCTATCCAGTATACCATAGGCTGGACATTCTACGAGAGCAATGACAGTAGCCTCTTTTCCCAAGTGCTTCATGAATAAGTTGGTCACACAACCGGAGACACCGATCTGCCCATGACAGTACAAAACTGTTTCTGATAGATGGTATCTCGGCTAAGGCTAAGAAAACAAATGAACAAAAAATACCGACATCTCGTAACGATCATAATCTAAACTCAAAGTAGATGAAATATAGTCACACTGTGACCGCGAAAGATTTCCACAGAGAGCATTGGTACATTACAAGAGGACCAGGTGTATGAAAGTGATGATTGTAAGAACTCAGAATCAACCGCTGCTATCTCCCAGTGTAGTTTATACTAGCGTTGTACTTATTTGATTAACTGCTTTATCTTTTTCCATGATTGTTTAACAGTTACTAACAATGTTGACGGGACTTTCTTTGATGCCTACATGGACAGTAGTGCAGGTGTGTGGAGGCTTGGAAGTACTGGTATGGCACTAACGTATACTTACTGGGATGGAGGACAACCAAACATGGCCGGTCTTTGTATAGGCACGATATCCATCCATGGCTGGTATTGGCACGACTACCCAGTTCATTGGAAAGCAGGCATCATATGTGAAATCCGCCGTCCTTAAGAACATCACTACAGACGGATCTTCCTCCAACAATACAGTTTGCTTAACAGGAGGCCATTGGCCTCGAAGACTCTAGATATATATTGAATCTTTGGTTTCATGATGAAGATACATGAATATTTGTTTATACGAGTAAAATTTGTCATCATGGAATGTTGATGCGAGATATGACTTCTTGTGTTTCCAGAATGAGGTTCGGTGTTGGAGTACGTGTTATGTGTAACTCCTCTGCTATCTTTCACTGACAGGTATCGAGACAAAATGTCAATTTGCAACTGTGAAATGTTCAGTTTGTAAGTAATGATGTCCAACGACAAATTCATTATTACTTGAAACACGTTATATTTAATTAGATTATTATTACATAATGATTATGATAAATGCCAGCGTCTCTAGAAAGATTCCTTTCCAAATATGACAAATATCGCAACCATTTTGTAACGGCTACATTTGCATTGAACCAAACGCTACTCCGAAAAATCGATTCTTAACACGGCAAATCATTGTCTAATTTTCACAATTTTACAACCTGGGTCTTTAACTTAAATTCATTTTTAAAAGCGTATGAAAAAATCGAAATCTCTTGAAGCAGGGCAATCAAATATTTTGTCGGAAAGTTTTGTAGGAAATAGTACTAAACGATACATAATACGGTTTACATATTACTCATGTGATGGGCGGTATTGAGAGCAAAGGGAAATAACTCCAACTACTTTAGTTTACATATGATTACCTCCCGTGACTCAGTCGAGTAATCATATTAGAATTTTAAAAATACCGATATAATGTTTCTTAGTATTTGTGATTTGAAGTTATGTAAAGTTTTGGAGTGATAACAATGACTGAATTAGCATTTTTTTCCCCAGTTTTTAGTGTATTGCTGTTAAATGTAGTCCTAACTACCCTTTAGTATTCAACATATCTCAGATTTAAGATATCCATCGCGAACTCAAATATATTTCCTTGGGTTAACTTCATGTTATCATTAAAACCTTCAAATATTTATCATAAATTGTTTATCATAAATTGTCTATCGTAAGTTGTTTATCATCAGTTGTTTATCATAAATTGTTTATCATAAATTGTTTATCATAAATTGTTTATCATAAATTCTTTATCCTATTTTTTATTAAACAAGCATTGTTTAATACAATGTACATACTAACATTTTTTATCTTAACTTAGATACTAACTTTTAATCAATGAATGTTTAGAAGAAATGACAAGTTTCGTTACCAGTTATTCGTATTTGAAAATGTAAAAAAAAGACACTCTGTGGCCTGACAAATAAGTAGATGGATTTTTTAGGTATACTAAGCATTCTGTAATAAAGAGGAATGTTGTTTTTTCATGTACTGATTCAAAACCGAATACACCGATATATAAGGTATCATTTTAGTTGTTGAAATCTTCTTTGTGTTCGACGTTATTGAATAACAGTACCGTTGATTTATTTTTCTCGTGATCTTTTTTAAGTTTAAGTTTAAGCATTTTAGAAAAAGGGGCCCGATTTTGTTCCTCTCTGGCTCTCTGTTCTTCCTCTATTAAGATGTAAGACTAAGTGTATATATAAGTTGTCTTGCCTCGTTTCCAGATCCAACCAATACCTATATGTTATACGTTATTTAACACATATTCCAATTTGCAAAGCTTTGGTTTCCCGCGTTTATCATAACACGACCACCAGTGACAGTAACTTTCAGAATTTTGCATTTTGCATTTTGCATTTTTTTCAATCTCCAGTATTTTACAGACTAAAACTTTCCCATTGGAAATTTGGAAACTACTAACAGTCATCTTCGGAAGCAGTAGTATTGTTTTGTCGCTGCTAAAGATGATTACTTGGGTTATACATCTGTGCGGGACGGAACGACATGAGTACAAATGCATTTGAATGGAGTTGTTATTACATGTTTTGTTGTTTGGATGAATAAACAATAAAAGGAGAAAGTAGAATTAAACATATTTGTTTATTTACTGCCATTTCAAAAACCAGATAAAATTACGCTGCTTGCGTATTTCGTCCAACCGTAATCAACATCAGGAAACTGATATCGTCAGCCTTATTTTTACACTTTGTTTGAGTCGAAATTCGGATAAGTCGAAATATTTTTCACACTCCTTTGAATTTCGAGATAACGAGTTTCGACTGTACTTGGTAAATCTCTTTCATCAAACATTCAATGAAAAGATAAAGCATTTCTCTTCGAGGTAATGTATGTGTTACTAAGATCTGAAGCCCATAGAATATAAAATAAACCACAACCCTCGTCACTATATATGTATATTACATTTGTAATTACCGTGCTTGGTTTGTCTTTTGTTTATTGCATTTTAAGCTGACAAATCTTTATAGGAGATCATGTCTGAGTGATTGTTGGGAGTTGGCTGGAGTTTCCTCCGCCCTGTTAGGTAAGCGCAGTATCAATATCTCGTTAACGTGTTATCTGATACTTGAGGAAGAATATCTCTCTTAGAAAGGTATTGACCATTAATGCCTAATATCGCGTGACAAATGTTCTTTATAATGGCTGTTTCTGAATTCATTTGAACATTTTTCTCTTAATTACATCCTAACAATATCCAATAGTATTTGTTGATGATTGTACCCATGGTAACCGCGCTATTGTATATGTGATTGATCATTAAATAACAATGATTTTGATTGTAAGAGATACTTTTTGTTGTCGGTATGTGATAGATCTTGGCTGTGTAGCTATATCTTTGTGGTTGTCGATTTCACTGCTTATATCTTAGAGATCAAGGTTGTGTTTCTGACGTGCGACATGCATTACCATAATACAAGTATTTAAAACACTGTGACAACGCTCTTTATAGGAATACATTGATGCTCTTAAATATGTATCTGTAGTTATGCATGTTTCAAACTTCGATTATTTAATAGTTATATAAATCAACAAATTTAATTCTGTTACTATTGACTTTTTAAGAAGAAATCAAAATCGTGGCCGATGTAAACTCTCTTCTCTCTTCAAGTACAATATTGATGTTAAATATTTGAATGGTCGGAAAGCATCTAAATTCGGTTTTTTTTTTTTTTTTTTTTTAATTATCGATCAACCCCTTCTATATTTTTACCTAATTTAAACCCAATTAATACTTTTTTTCTAACCTGCTTTGTTTATTTCTACAACTGAAAACCCCTAGAACACCAGACAGGTGTGATGTCAAGTATATATAATGAACACTTACGTATATTAACACACATTCCCTAAATTTCACCATAAGTGATAAAATGCTGGGAATAGAATCAGAATAACTGTTATTGATTTCCTCTGCTCTAACAAGCAACTTGATGATCATTTATTATTCAACATATCAATTCCGAAAATGCTAATACATGTAAGATATATTGTGAAAGATTTTCCTTTTTAGCATGTGTCTAGTGAGGTCATACATTGAAGCAATGCACACTAACTTGTTAGTTTGATATTCAAGTTTTTTTTTTTTTTTTTAATAATGAAAATGCATGCATTTACTCAAAACTATTTATCAATCGAATTGTTTTATTTCAAAATTGCATTATTCTCATTGATTTAACCGTTGAAGATGTTTGTATAGGAAAGTTGTAAATTATCACCCTAATACAGATACTGATGTATTTCCTGTGGGTTACACGACTTCATGTTTTAAATTCTTTAACTGGTTATCAAGTTTTGGGGTAAGACGTACACCCTCATCTCTATGACAAGGATCATAAAATATGTCATAGTATAGGCCATGGGTGACTTTTGGATTTGTTGAATATATATTCTGAGAGGATTACTGTGGTACTACAAATAACACACAATAACGATTAAATTGGGATGTGGGCAAAATTGTATATACCGTGACAGATCCTTTCGCAATTAACCGCAACTACATGTGTATATTCTGAAACGAATCGATTTTGTACTAAACTGTGTATCTAAGCTACATATAGATAAGTTCAATGACGTTCACGCATGGATGAATCATGGGCGATCACTTAAGAAACAAATACATTTGTAACGGTTCACCTAATAACTCATAAACTTGAACAATTAGCGTTATTTTCCTATTAAATATTCATGTTTCCATGGAATTTGGGCACATGCTATAATCACTCGTCGCCCCTCAGTCGTAAACAATATTATTTATCGTAAAAGTACGACATGTATATGTACATGTAAACACAATAATTTCAGATATTGGATATGTTCTAGTCTTTGAAATCCACACCTTTCAGATATCAGTAATTAAGTTACATGACTCTCGTGAACAAAACACATTTTGACATAGATTATGCTTGTTTTAACTTTGCAATACTGACAATTGCTTTTACATATTTACTCGAACCATCATTGCCATTTCATAACAACAATATATCTTCACAAATGGTAGTGACAACAAAGATTTAATGAACATGGAATTGACGTCTGTATTTTATCAACTTACCATACTAATGTAATCTCACAAAATCACAAAGAATGTTCCTAACTGTGCTTGCCTCGTGTACTGCTAAACCACTGCTTATCTACAAACATATCAAAATTAAATCAAAATTATGTCAGGTTTCCAAAAAGAGAATCGAGTAAATACCATTAAAACCATCAGGTATAATAACGATCATAAAACACATACAATATTTCCCAATGTCCTAGCAAATCCTTCAATTTCACATTTTGATGATATAATAAAAAAATGAGTGAGTACTAGAAGGTTGAAAATGATGTTTTGAAATTTGGATGTAATTCAACTAGTAAACACTACGAAACAAATGCAAACAAAGGCGTTTGTTGTGACGATGGTTTTCCCACATTGTCTATTGGTAAAGTGGCAAGATGTGGATATGTGGACGTTGAACACAAGAAGTGACATGATGAAAGAAAATCAAGAGACGACTCATCTTTATAAAGGAAAAAACAAAAATGACATATGATCAATCCTGATAAAGTAAATTTGTGTGACGCTCAAAAAAAATGCTTATACGTCTTACAGATAAAGCAAACATAATTTGA